TTAAGCCCCCCCCCCCCCCTGGTATAGTGAATGTACTGTTTGACTGTGCGTTGTGTACAGAGAGGGGTTGACGACCAGTTTCACCAAGATAATGACGGACGAGGCCGTCTCCACCTGGAGGTTTGATATCCACGAGTGTATCAGGAAGAACTCGGAGAAACTTTTAGAACTTATCTGCACTAAACTTCAGGTGACAGGGTTTACAATAATATTCTTTTTCATCTATTTCCTTGCAGGCTGGATAAAATCATATTGGACTGTTTATGGCTCTATATTTGGATTTTCGGGACTAATCAGAAAATTTAAGAAGAGTTTTTTGAAAAATTGTATAAGGCCAATAATAATAATTTGCTTGCAGAAAATAAAGTATTATGTGCGTATTTTGGCGTTTAAGTTTGGAGATAATCCAACATAATATGGGACAGTCTAGACTTTAGTATCATACTCTCGCTAAAACCACGTTTTATTCGGTCTTGGTCCAGCAGATCACTGCAGTACGCACAGAAAGCTTAGTTTAGAGTGATCTAGGTGAACACAGAACAGTAAACATTATTCAGTGAATGTAAACCTATTACATGTTTTAGACTTTTATAAATTCAAAAAAAATTGTCCAAGAACATGATCTTGGTCTATCAAAATTTGCAAAGTTTAAGTTTTCATGTAGGCAAAGCTTGGTTTCCAAACAAGTGAAAATATAGATGGCATATTCAAAATCAACTTTTCTCATTTCTTTATCTTTCCAACCTGACATGGTGTAAATCTTTTATATTTTGTTAAACAGATTCCTCTATTACTACCAGTGCTTAAAATGGATCCGGATCAAGGAAGTCAAAATCTTGCGGATCCAACGGATCCTGATCCTAAGCACTGCTTAATACATAGGTTATGTACTCAAGTGACCCTTTATGCTAAGAAGGAAATGTTTCTAATTTACAAACCAGTTTTTTTTCAATTGTGATTTCTCTTGAATAGTGACTTGTACATTTCTACTGCAATAAAAACAGATAGAAATGATAAGAATAAACACGTTTATACCTAGGGAAGCGACAATATCTACCATATTATTGATCAGATAAAGGCTTCAATTCCATCTTTGCACGAAAGGTCACTTGTAATTACGCTTACAGTCCCTGTAAGATATAAATTAATATTGGTTTAGGGAGACTGGTTTCCACTTCTTGATCTGCTTCCGATGGTATTCAATCCTGGAAACAAATTCCATCTTTACAATTCAAGCAGGTTGGCAAGAAAACTCATTTTTTCATTCTTATTTTGTTTTAAAGATTCTTGATTTATGAGATTGTTGTCTTATCAGTTACCGAAATAAGAGATTAATTTCAACCTTAATAATCTCTTCTTGATTTTTTTATTGTGAAATAATTAAATTTTACAAAAAAACGTTTTTGTCAATGTATTTATTAATTAATCTTACTTTTTTTATTATTATCTAAGAATTAAAATAATTTTTTTTTATAATTTGATTTTACAATTACTTTTTTTAGAAAAGTAATTCATTAATTTATCTAACGTTTTTGAGTAATTCTTTTTTCATATTGTTTTTTAAATAATAAAAATATTTTGAAGGGCAAGTGAGACATGTCCTTCTTCCCAGTCCACAGATGATGTTGACGTCTTTGCACAGTCTACAAACCCTAGGTTGGTTCAAACCAGTCATTCAAATATCTTTTATAACCGGATCTAAAGACAAAATTCACGTTTTTCTCAAAATTAATATTTTTGTAAAAAAAAAAATTGAAACTTTGTAAAATAATTTTGAAACTTTCCCCCGATCAGTCAAAGTTCGAAGTTTTTTTTTGCATTTTTTGTTCCATTTTTAAAATTAATTTTTTGATTTGTTCTTGAAATATTGTATTTATTTGGTGTCGTTATTTTTTCCCTTGATAAAATCGATTTCGTAAATTTTTGGTTTTTTTCTTCGATATTTATAGTTGATTTATTTTAGAACAACTAAAGGTTGGTTGGTTGATCTGCTCAATACTTTCGGTAAACATGGAGGATTTAAGAAGCTACATGATCGGATTCTTTCCGGGGAAACCTTGACCATCCCTCTCATCTTCTCCCTCATCAGACCATTTGGGCTCTGCTACGAGTTCCTGACCGTGAGAACCGTCACGACCTATTTCCTCCCCGTCATCGACGCTGTCCCTAAGTTCCTGGAGAATTTAACAGATGAGGAACTGAAAAAAGAATCCAAGGCAAGTTTCAATCCTCAATGTTGTTCTCCTATTTCTCATTTCACTTGACGGAAATGTTGAAAGTTAACTTTTTTTCAATTAACATAAATTCAATTTCATTTTTCTTTATCATGAGAAAATACTGAATAAACATAAGATTTATAAAATCAAATCAAATTATTTTCTTAAGAATTTTCAAACTATTTTTCTTCTTTTTTACGCCTTATTTCATGCTAAAACAGTATGAACCATTTAGAAATAAGGAATTTTTGGATAGCTTAACTTTGTTAATAGTTCATATTTTGGTTTTAAGAGCAAATGGATTTTTTGCAGCATTTGGTTGATATTTTGCCCCGTGGATCCGCATATTTGTGCGGAACCGGATCCTAAGTACTGTACTGTGAGGATTGATATTGTATAGAACGAGAATAAGTATGATACGATCAGTGCTGTGGTCAAGAGTTTAAAGCATCTGTGCAGCCTTGTCCCAGGCAGAGAGGAGAGTGTTCGCAGCCTGGAGATGTTCAGGAAATAAAACAACTAGGATTCAGATTATTTTGAAAAAACAACTCGGATTCATTTTTTTTGAACCAAACAGCACATATTTATCCAATTTTGAACACAACTACTTAATTCAATTTTTAATTAATTTTGAACCAAATTACTCAGATTTATCTACTTTTTAACCAAACAACTTAGACTTATCTAATTTTCAAACATACAACTCAGATTTTTTTATTTGATTATTTTTTTGTTATATCAATATCATCCTATTTTTAACAAAAGAACGTGAATTTATCTTTTTTTCAGAACCCTTCTGTCCTGTCTAAACTAATCAGCTGTTCTTTAAACATTTGTTACTGTTTTCAATCGAACAAGTTCTGCCCTGTCTAAACTAATCAGTTGTTCTTTACACATTTGTTACTGTTTACAATAGAACAAGTTCCGCCTTATCTAAATTAATCAGCTGTTTACATTAAAACAAGTTCTGTCCTGTCTAAACTAATCAACTGTTAATTAAATATTTGTTACTGTTTACGATGAAACAAGTTCTGAATTGTCCTAATACGTCACAGTTGAATGTAAACAACCCATATTGTGGAATTTACCGTTGGTCTTATTTTGCATTCGAAGCTAACATTAACCCTTGAACAAATTTTAATTAATTCTGTTGGTTAATTTTCTTACTATTCACAGTATTCATGAAGTAACCCGGTCATCTCCTTAGTTCTTATCTCATTGATAAATGATTTTTTTTTGTATATTCCCTCTCCTCCTTAGTTGTACTTACATTGTAAATCAATTGTTTTGTATGAAACAGGTTGAAGATGCTCCTTAGGCAGCTTCAGATATCAAGCTTCAGGGACCTTCATATTCCTTTTGTTGAAATTTGATACTATTGTAAGAGAGTTTTCTAACCCCAAAATTTGCAAAGTAATTTCAGGGATATATATTTCTTAATAAATGGACAACGCTTCAGGTAAAATAGGGGAATTTTTACAAATTCGAATCCCCCCTCGACAATATATAATCAAATAGTATTGTGGGAGTTCCATTTTGGGTTCTCTTTCAGATTTTCAGTATTTCATCCTATGTAATTACACTCAATTTAAAATAGAATCTACGATTTACACTGCACATATATGATAATTATGCTCGTTACATGAGCATGAGCATCAGTATTAAAATGTACAGGAATATAAACTTTATTATGTACAGTGGAAAGATGTCCGCCCTGAATGAAGTTAACAAAGTTATCCATAGTGTTCATTATACCCCAGGCAGATATAATACTCACAACTCTGAAAACGAGGTAAAATTGTTTGACTTATTGATTGGTGAGTGAGTGAGTGAGTGAGTGAGTGAGTGAGTGAGTGAGTGAGTGAGTGAGTGAGTGAGTGGCCGGCTGATTGAATGATGTTGCTGTTGCAGGATTGGTTGACAGCTGACCGAATGGCTGCCTGGATCAAGGAGAACAATCTGATCAAGATCGTGCTCAGGGACTCCCTCCACCAGCCCCAATACGTGGAGAAGCTTGAGAAGATTATCAGGTACGTAAGCGAAGATATTATTTTTCGCCAGAACATCAAAATTTGGAAGTAAAGTATGTTTTTGTAGTAAACCATTAACCTTCACCCACCTTCTTCAATACTTTTGAGGGTGTTCTCACAAAACCGATCAAAACTTATTTGCGGGGAAATAAAAGATAAAAACGTTTTGATTTGTTGGTTTTTAAAAAATATAATGTTTTAGTTTGTAAAAAATAGTTAAGAAGAAATATGTTCCATCCCTTTAAAATAAAAGAGAATATTTTCCTTGCTAATTTTAAACTTTTTAGTTGTTATGTTTTATTTTACTTTTTAGATTTATCATAAAAGAGAAGGCTCTAACGATGTCAGATTTGGATGATATTTGGGCAGCACAGGCTGGGAAACACGAGGTTTGTTCAGATATTTATTTTATATAATCTCTTTAATGTATGTTTTTTTATAGTGACGACAGTAAATGTGTTTATATGCTCATTTATATTAAATGGAAAATGACAAAAAAAAGAATAAAAATCTGTGTCATCAAAATTGACAAGATCAAATAAACAAGTTAAGTTTCAAAGAATCAATACAAAATAAACTAAAAAAAATAAAATATCAAAAAATATATTAAGAATTTTAACAAAAAAGTGACACCTTAAAAAAGACATAGAACCAATCTTTTATTATTCATACGTAAAGGCATTAAATCTGCCTTTTTTTGACTGGCAGAAAAATAACCAGAAACTTTTAGTGCAGATTTATCATAGTAACTAGTAACTAATGTAAGTCTTACGACACCCCTTTAGGGTTCCTTGTAAAGTTGTAGTAATCCAAAACTAAACAAATGTAAGTTAGATCAATGAATAATGAGGCTTGAATGATCGGTAAAGATACCTCTAATATCCATTAAGCGGTATGTTCTATTTGCCGCATAGTACTATCTGAAACATGCTCACTATAAACAAAAGTTCTGACTATCTGAAACAGCTATTATACTTGATACTTGGGATTGGGTAACATTTCCTTTTATATACTTATGAATGACAATCACAATATAAGTCATTCACACAAGGCTTGGGGGTCTGTAGCCGGGGGCTTACAGTCACCAAGTGGAATACGTGTTCAACTGATTTTATTTATCATCATCTGATCTTTGAATTATATTCTAGGCAATAGTAAAGAATATCCACGAACTGTTGGCTAAGCTAGCCTGGGATTTCTCTCCTGATCAGCTAGATCATCTCTTCGAGTGTTTCCAGGTAAACTTAAAATGTAACCGTGACAAATGGAGGGAAGGGGGGGCATAAATCAAAATAAACAACAATCGTTCATAGTGACTGATTTATCTCCAAGCGTTTTTCCATTTGATACTTACTTGATACTTGTGTGTTGATCCTCAGTGTTCCATCTAGGAATATGTAGAGGATTTTTTTAGGAACTAATGATCATCTGCTGGAAGAATGGTATCTTCTAGGTTTGTGAATTGATCCCAGTGATCATTGTGGATCTAATGTAGTAGTCATACTTGTTTTTGAATACATTAACATTTTTGGCGGATTTAACATCTTGTGGTAATTTATTCCACGAGTTTACAACTCTATTACTAAAGCAATTCCTTCTCAGTTCTAGTTTTGAGTTTTTTGATTTCAGGTTGAGTATATCAGCAGATTGTCTTGTTATGCGTTCACTAGTTTCAGCCACATGCTGGAACCACAGGGATTTGTCAACATCATCTAGACCATGGACTATTTTGTAAGTCTGTATCAAATCAGATCTTTCACGTCTGGCTTCTAAAGTTTGTAGTCCTAATTCTTCAAGTTTTTCTTCATATGTGGAGCCCTGAAGCCCTGAGATAATCCTTACTGCCTTGCGTTGTACATTTTCTAGTTTGTCTTTGTCCTGTTGGGTCCAGGGTCTCCAACTTGATACAGCAAATTCCATGTGAACACGAACATACTGTTTGTAAAGTTTTAGGAATATATTTCTGTCCCTGAAATGGAAGGCTCTACAAATTTGACCAAGAACTTGATTGGCTTTGTTTGCTGCAGCTGAACATTGTTGGGAAGGTTTCATTGTGTCGGAAATCAGAATACCTACATCTTTTTCTTCTGAGGTTTTCTGAAGTATCTGTCCATTCATGGTGTAATTGTGTTGTGGGTTATTTTTCCCAATATGCATCACTTTACATTTGTCGACGTTGAACACCATTCCCCATCTCTCTGCCCATTTGTGGAGCTCATTGAGTGATTCTTGCATATCTAAAATACATTGATCATCAAGGATTATTTTTGCAGTTTTTGTGTCATCAGCAAACTTTTTAATCAGTGTTACTAGATTCTGTATTGGATCATCAAGATCATTTATATAAATAGTAATCTTTTTATTATGTAATGTGTCTCGTAATCATTTGTCATTCCAAATTCGACCAATTCATTCTCATAAAATGGCATTTTTATATTAATATTCCCGAATCTAGAAGGGCCAAGCTAGTAAACAAAAATCCACTTATATATATAACAAACTAGGCTTTTATGGCGCTTCGCGTCCATCCTCAATTTGACTTTTAATTGTGGCTTTATCTGTGAGCATCTTATCTTTGTACAGCATAAAACAATAACAAGAAAAATTTAAACGGATTTTTTAATATTTTTGTTCGCGCATTTTAAAATTTTTCAGAATCAAAAGATTTTGGATACAACTTTTTGTAATTCTGAGTATCCATAAACCTTCCTGGGGTCATGCTTGGGCCCGAATGGTTCAGCCGTCAAGACGTTTATTGGATACAAACAGACTGACAGACAGTCAAGCAAAATATATATATATATGAATCAATCTAACCTGGGCTGCTGCAAGTAATCGAAGAAAAAACTTGTTATAAAAGTTTTAAAAGTTATTTCTCATTACTCTTCATTATTAATAATTTATTCTTTTTAAGTTTTGTTATGTCTTGTTAGATCACGTTACGGCTTGTTAAGTCATCTCATGGCTTGTCATGTCATGACTTGTTATGTTTTGTTATGTCAACTAACCTTCTAGGCAAGCTGGAAGGGGGCAGCGAGTAAACAAAGAGAAAAATTACTTGAACTTATTCGGAGGCTGGCAGAGGATGACAAGGTAAAACATTATGGACTTTATTCATACTCACTTAATGTTAAATTCTTATAGCTTTTAACACAAACAATTTCTCTCAAAAATGTCTAAAGCAGTGCAAACCATAAAAGTATTAAATTAGTTGTTTTATATTTTTATGTTTTCGCAAAAAGCTTTCTTATAACTTAGTATATTTTAGGACGGAGACATTATAAATTAGTATATTTTATGACGGAGACATTATAACTTAGTATATTTTAGGACGGAGACATGAAAAAATTAGTATATTTTATGACGGAGACATGATAAATTAGTATATTTTAGGACGGAGACATGATAAATTAGTATATTTTATGACGGAGACATGATAAATTAGTATATTTTAGGACGGAGACATGATAAATTAGTATGTTTTAGGACGGAGACATGATAACTTAGTATGTTTTAGGACGGAGACATGATAACTTAGTATATTTTAGGACGGAGACATGATAACTTATTATATTTTAGGACGGAGACATGATAACTTAGTATATTTTAGGACGGAGACATGATAACTTAGTATATTTTAGGACGGAGACATGGCGGAGAAGGTTTTGAAATTGTTTTGGAGTTTAGCGCATTCTACTGACGTAACCACAGATATCATGGATCAAGCTTTAACTGCTCATGTCAAGATCCTGGATTATAGTTGTACACAGAACAGGTTGGTTGGCCAGTGCATTGGTTCCTTGATTACTTTGTTGATGATTGATTGAGTGATTGATTGGTTGATTTCGTGATTGATTGATTGATCGACTGTTGACTTTGGGATGGACTAATGACTTGATTGATTGGCTGATTTATTGAGTTGATTGATTGCTTGATTGATTGATTGATTGATTGATTGATTGATTGATTGATTGATTTGATTTATATTATTGATTGATTGATCTAGGGACGAGCAGAAGAGTAGATGGTTGGACAAGTGTGTAGAGGAACTGAAAGCAAATGAACAATGGGTTCTTCCGGCTCTCAAGCAGATCAAAGATATTTGTACACTCTACCAGGTTCAAAATATCTTTATTTTTTTTTAATTAAAGAACAAAGAGTAAATAATACACTCTCCGGTACTTAGGTACACGCATAATAAGTCGATGCTAACTTTTTATATTTCTAGGAGCAGCCGCCTACTGGCACACAGCGTACCCCCGGGCCGGTACTCACGTACAGACATGACGTCATCAACGGACTTCAACGTACACATACCCTGGTTATCCTCATAGCAGATAATCTTACTGAGGTGAGATTCTAAAAAAGGATTAAGATGTTTTCTTATGTTTTAACTATCAATGCCACCAACCTGTCAATCCGCAATTTTTATTAAAAAAATTATTTTTTAAGGTGAAAGATGTAAGATATTTGTTGAGCAATTAAAAAAAGAATGTCGTAATTTTAAAATGCACATTTCTGAAAACTCCGTCCGAGTTTGACCGAAAAGTAGTGGTTTTAATATACATTGTGTTGGAATTTGCTGACTACCCATACTCTTGTTATTTTACATTTAAACATATCACTGTTTCTCAGGGAAATTTTGCTTGGTTTTCCTGAGAAAAGGTTTAATGGGTCCCGTTGTAAATCGTACATGCAAACCTTTTTAATGAAGTTTCGCTCTAAATTACGTCTTTAAATTATCTGCTAAATATTTAAACGTAATCTATGAAAAACATGCATATTTGAAATTAAACTTTTTCTAGTACATGGACCGAATTCGTTCAATGGGAGACGCTGCAGCCACTCTAGATCCTAATGAGTTTGCACCGGATGGCAGGTAACCCCCCCCCGAGTGATTCTTGCATATCTAAAATACATTGGTCATCAAGGATTATTTTTGCAGTTTTTGTGTCATCAGCAAACTTTTTAATCAGNCCCCCATCTCATATTTTGTTTCATGCCCTTTACAGCAAAATCATGATTGTTAATTTAGTTTTAATAATTTTCTTATCTGCAGGTACTGTCACTCTCTGCAAGTATCCGAGAGGTTGAACTTTCTGCGCTTCTTGTTACGAGACGGTCAACTGTGGCTGTGTGCACCGCAGGCCAAACAGATTTGGACTTGTCTTGCGGAGAACGCGGTTAGTATTTACTTCCTGGGTTTGGGAGGTTAAAAGTTTACAGGAACGGTACGTAACGAAACGGAACGACAGAAAAATTTCTCTTCATTTTCTCTTAAATTTTTTTAAAGAACCAATCTCAAATTCTTAATAAAGAAAAATGTGATACTTCTGTTCAGATTTTTCCTTCTGACCGAGAACAGTGCTTCAAATGGTTCAGTAAACTGATGGGTGATGAGCCGGACCTGGACCCGGAAATAAACAAGGACTTCTTCGAATCCAATCTTCTCCAGCTAGATCCTGGACTACTCACAGAGGCAGGGATGAAGTGCTTGGAGAGATTTTTCAAAACTGTAAATATCAAGGTATAAATGAGAGCAGTAGGAGAGACACTCAGTTGTTGGGTTGTACCCTATAAATATATCTCTATATATATATTTATTCTTTAAAAAGTTTATAACATGTCCTATTGTGTATTAAGATTGGTAATTGCTGGACACTGTGTTTCATGTGTATATATATTTATATATTGTTGAATCGCTAATCCCGGATAATTTGTTTCGATCTTCTGAATATTGCTTTTTATAAATTGAAAGGAAATGTTATTGAATTTTAATAAAAGGTGGGTTTTTAAAGACTGCGGAAAAGGGTTTTTATAACAAATTTAATCCGCTCCACGCTTCATTGTCTGTTTTAAAGTAATAGGATGTCCTGAATAACTAGTGAAGAAACAATGATTGACTTACTGACTGTGTAACTGATTGGTTGGTTGGTTGGTTGGTTGGTTGGTTGGTTGGTTGGTTGGTTGGTTGGTTGGTTGGTTGGTTGGTTGGTTGGTTGGTTGGTGGGTTGGGGTTGGTTTGTGAGTTTTGTGGTTTGTGTTAGTTGGTTGGCTCATTGGTTAATTGATAAGTTTGTAGGCTGGTTAGTTGGTTGGTTGGTTGTGTAAATATAAAGGAAGATACACCAGGAACTCTCCAAATCTAGGTCCTAGACTTCAGGTAAATATAAAGGAAGATACACCAGGAACTCTCCAAATCAAATGAACTGAATCTGTGATGAATGTGATCAAAAAATGATTATTAATTTTAAATGTTTTTATCTTACGCAAAAACTTGAATAAGGTTGAATTAGCTCTAAATTTCAGTTCTGCAAAACTGCTTTTTTACCTTAAATTCTTGCTGTAAACTTAGAATTAAAATCAGGACTAACTTTCAAAATGTTTTTATTTGATTTTAAAGTCCTTACTTACTTTTAATATTTAACGGGACACCCTTTTTAAGAGAATTAGACAATCAATGCTAGAATTTCGATTTTTTTGGGACACCTTGGCAAGATTTTAATGAAAGAATGTTCAAGAATTCACATGATTATTTGATCATCAATCATTTGCCCCCAAAATTGTGGGTATGTTTGCGTTGAGTGCAAAATTAGTTTTAAGGTTTTATTTGCTAAATTTGAGAAAATTTTAAATTTCGGGTAAAAATTATCAAATTAATAATTTAAATCAACTTTTTTTAAATGTTCTTTATGAAGGCACAGCAGACTGTAATCCATGAGGATTTCATTGCTCACTGTATGGATATCTTGAAGTCCGCCTACGATACCATCACCGTGATTAAGAAGCAGAAGGAGAAGAAGGAGATTGAAGATCTAACTCTGAAAATTTGCAGAACCATGAAGGTCCTTCATGAATATATCAGGTGGGTGAGAGATAAAGAGAATGTTCAATGGATTGATCATTTTTTAGATTTGTCGAATTGATTGTTTGTTTGATGAGTTGATTGAAATAATGATTACTATTACTTGTTGGTTGATTTAGTTGATTGACCAACTGATATGATTTGACGTTAAGTGAGTGTGATATCTAGTTGGTTGATTGATTTGGTAGAGAGTGATTTCTACAGAGCGTCCCATATCATATTAGATTATCAACAATTTTTAACGCCAAAATATGCACATAATACGCGAAAAATCTAGCATTTTCTGCCAATAAAATTTTCTATTAGCCTTATTAAATATTTTAAATGATTCATTCTTCTTAAATTTTCTGATTTTCCCCCCAAATCGTAATTTAGACCCATTGACGCGGTCTAATTTGATGTAGGACACCCTGCAGCTAAATGGCTAAATGATTTGTGCAATAATAAGCGATTTTGATAACCGATTAATGATTAATTTATAAGTATAATTATGAGGGAGTTTTATTTACGGTAAAATTATTTATTGATTGATATTGATTAAATGATTGAAATTGATTTATTGATTATTGATTGATTGATTTGTAGTGAGTGTGATTACTACTACCTGGAAGAGCGAACCCTTCTCCCCCTATACAGAGCAGCACGAGGGAAACAGATCCTGCTCACCATACGATACAATAATCCTGGTAGACAGATAGAGGATCTAGGTACAGGCTTTTCAGGGTTTAATCATCTTCATTAATCATATATCTATAAAGCTCTCTGCTAGATGGATAGAGGGGGGAGGTTTACAATTAAACATATATAACAATAAAGAAAAATTGATTCAATTTGACTGGGTATAAATAAAGGCGGTTGTCTTAAACTCAGTTTTTTCGCCAGAAAAAAAAGGATGAACAACGAAAAATAACAGAAACAAATATGACACCGTGCAACGGGAGAAGCTTGCCTATCCGACTATTTTAAAGCTAATCAAATATTAAAAGTAAAAAAATCGTAGATCTAATAATAATAAGTTAACAATGTTAAGATGGATAAAATTTGAAATGGGATTTAATTTCTTTCATAAGTTACAAAATCGATAAACTCTGATCCGCTATTTGTGAATTAGTCAAGAAGATGTCGTCATATTTTTTAATTAAATGTCAGTATCTTTCCGTGGCTCTGCTGCATAATTCCGCAATTAAAAATTATCAATTTCCATAATTTTAGGTTTTTGGTGTTTAAAAACGGAGAGTCAATTCAAATTAAGTCTCGTCAGTAACTTTAATATATATATATATTTAGAGCTGTACATGCATGACAAGGAAACCCTGGCTTCTCTTCGGCGAACTGTTTTCTCTAAACTGAAAGCTAATCCATGTAGTCTCAAGTTAGAGCTTGCTCTGGGGCAGGTCGGTAGTTTTATTAAATTAAGTTTACAGATTACAGGTTTAAAACAACTCTAAGGTTATAGGGATGTGTTATTTTTTACTCATTTTCAGTCTTAGAATGAATGAGTTTCTTGATATTTCCAGAATGAAGTGGAGGGCCGGGTGTGTGGAATCGTTGTTTTTTAATTTTAATAACCCAGTTTCTTAGTAAATAAATCAAACTGGCCCCATCTACTTAGATTTATTTTCATTGGTTGATTGCAATGGAATAGAACCTTGGTGATTGGGGAAAAGGATGTGGTACTTGATGTTTTTAGGAGTGGATCTGGAAAATTATTTGTTTACAAACCATCGTTTATTTACATCAAACCCAGTTTCTGAGCATAGTAAAATATAAACAAACCTTCTCTTGTATAAAAAAATTGAGTTCTCTGTTAATTGAATACTATTTTGTGCAGGACCAGCTTGAAAGCGCAGACGACAGGAAAATTTTAGAAAAACTGGGTATTAAAGATAAAACTATTATCACCGCTAAATTAAGCCAGGTAACTTAGTCGGATTAAAGACAGAACTGATATACTGCTAAACTGGTTTGGATTAAAAGGACTGTACGCGCAATTTCATATGACAGTGGTTTAGGGTTATATAATTTTTAACAAGACTGATACTACAAAAAATCTAATTTAGGCGAATTATTTTTACAACTTGATCGACCTAGAGTTAAATTATTTTTGATATTAGGGGGAGGATAATGATTATTCAGATAAATATTATTCCTTAAAGGGATTGTAAAGGAAAAATGAAAAATGATGTAGGATGAAACCTGAGAATCTCAGGAGTTGAACGATACCTATCTGATGTTCCTGTCTCGAGAAATTGACATAAAACTGTGTCAAAATTATCCCAAGTGCAGTATACTGGTCACATGATACAGACGGAGACAAGTGACAAAAATACTGCACTGCCATTGGTTTGAGTACTGGTGACATGTTCCGGATGCAAAAAAAATATTATCAATTATATCTAATAAAAATGAAAAATTATTAAATTCAAATAATAATAGGAGTAAATTTGAGTTTCTCAGGCTCCTCTGGAATATCGTTGTTTTCAGATTGGTTGCGTATTTGTTTAATATGATCTGTTTAATACTTCGAATCTTATGCAAAATCTTACATATATACGTTTTGGTATAATTTTTAAATCGTTTTATATCAATTTCTCGGGACAGGAACATCAGATAGATGACTTGTATGTATCAATCAACTCCTGAAATTCTCAGGTTTCATCCAAAACCCCTTTCATATTTCCTTTACAGTCCCTTTAAAAAAATGATTTTATTCATCTCCAGGTTGGAAGTGGAGCTGGAGCAAGTAGTCCTGATTCTAGTTCAGATTCTAGCTCTGGGTCCCCTCAACACAACATGTACGATGGACCTAATGTCGAGGCGGAGGCTTGTCTCCCAGGGGTCATCCTTAGCTCACAGGTTAGTTTAGGTCAAGTTCGGTGCAGCCCCATAGATCAAGAAATCTGGATGTGGTCTCCTACCTAAATAGCCTGTAGCAGACAACTCATATTTGTAGCTCTACGAATACCTGAAACAATATTTGCTTTCTTTATTCCAGTGTTTCGGATCCATATCATTTTGATTCGGATCCGGATCCGCGGATCACGCATCCATGATGATGGATCCGGATCCTGATACGGATCCGGATCCGGATCCGAGGTAACTTTTGATTCTGTGAATCGGATTTTCCCTATTTAATGTTATGCAAGGTTATAATTTATAAACTTTAGTAATCCTAAAGTTAAAAATGTCGTCATTACTATTATATAAATGTAAACATTGGATTTTTAAAGATAATTTTGAAAAATTTTCGTCATGTAAATAATACATTTACGAACCATTTTGATTTATTTATTCCATGGTTTTGGTTAATTTTTGGCGCTACCCGGATCCATATCAACGTTTCCTGATACGGATCCGGATCCGACCAAATGATACGGATCCATCCGGATCCGGATCCGAAACACTGCTTTATTCCTTTCTCCCCGGCTACTGCCATCTAGTTTTTACTAAGAAATCGTTTATTTATTTTTATTTGATGGATTTGTAAAGCCAACATAGATTAGTGTCCTTAATTTTAAAAAATATTACGGTCTCTTATGGATTTCAAAGTTTATTTCCAACAGATGGCAACAGCTGAGGAGAAATTAATATAGACAGCAAATATTGTACTGCATATTGTACGTGTACACTGCATCTCCAGATTACTTGATCCATGGTGCAGCCTCAAAACTTTCTCTGATCCAGATTCTCCCTTTTTGACAGTTATCAGAAAAATTTCTATCATTTTAAAATATCAATCTAAACCACCTTGAAAGTTGTTTAGATTATCTTTGATTCTCCTCTGAAAATGATTTGTTTCCTTTGAAATCTATTTTGTTCTTGTTTTTCTTTAAAAATCTAAAATGTACTGAGACATAAACTTGTTTGGATACCGTCCTTTTCTCCTTTATGCCTTCCTTTGAAATGTATCTTTACATAAAATGTGCCTTATTTTGAAAAGTTTTCTTTTTGTCTTTGTTTGTTTTGAACTGTCTATTAAACAGCTATGTTTTTAACAAATAGCATTTAGTAAATAGAATTTGGTGTTCAATTTACAGAAAAATATAATCAAACCCTACTCCTTCTTCTTAGCTCTCATCTTCTTTGAAGTTTCCTACTATCTTTTTTTTTCTTTCGTTAAATTCCTGAATTACTAGGGAAATCATTCGACCTTCTTCTGTGACCTGTCAGACCTCGGCAGTTGTATCCCTGACCCTGTACTTCGTGATTCTGCCCAGGCACTTCTTAAACTTCTTCCACCAGAAGTAGAAGTTATCAGACGAATCAAACACAAGTGTGCAGAAGTAAGAATTATTTTGATCCATGTCTTCACTTTTTTTAGGACATGTTTACATTTTTTGTGCAATAGTTGAATTTTATGATTCATTGATTGAATGATCAATTGTTTGAGTTTGACTGATTAACTAGAAGAAGGTGAATTGTGTTTTGATTTGATTCATTGATTGAATTATGAATTGCTTGAGTGAGATTGCTTGATTGATTGGAGAATATTTTAATTTGATTAATTAAATGATTAATTAAGTAATTTAATTTTGACTGATTGAATTGTGTGAGTTTAATTAATTGATTGAAAAATGCATTGATTTAGTTTGATTGATTAATTGAATGAAGAATTGTCTGAGTTTGATTGATTGATTGTTAAGGCCCAACAGAAGGAGAAGTGTAACCTTGAATCATATTTCTCGAGTTCTAGTCCAGCTCTAACCCTTTATCAGTTGGAAGTCTGTCATGCTCTCCTACTTCCAGCTGGAGGAGAACAGGTAAATCATAGACCCCCCCCCCCTCGTTTATCGTCTGAGGGTCTGTCATGCTTTTTTGTCATTCCAAACTTAGGAATTTAAAGTAGTATGAATGGCTAAGTTCAAACCTATGAGTTAATTTCTTTTTTACTGTGTTTTTAGGACATCAGCATTAATGTATTTCTCAGGATTTCTAAGTTGGAAAAATCATCTTTGAGATTTAATGTCTTGCATTTTCGTATTTAATTTAAATCTTTATTAAGTACCTGAAACCAGGAAAAAATGTTTGATTTTATACTGTTACAAATTGGAAAATATAAGTTTTGGCTGGGGCACTGCTTCCTTCCCTCTGACAACTTTTTGACTAAAAAAGCATGGAATATACCAACGCGGATTGGGGGAATTTGCGCTTCAGACAATTGTTTTCATGGCTGAAACTTGGGCATTGAATTGTTTTATTTACAATTATGTTTAGGATGTTTTGGGTGATGGGACCTTTAAGGTTCAGCTTGCTCTCATACTTGGTGGAGCTGTCAAATGTTTCCTCAATATGCTCATCTCAGACTCGTTAACTGCTGTAGATCCGGTAACATCATTTAAACAATGTTGTTCATCATGTTGGATAATTATTGCCAGAATATGTACAACGGTTGGAACTTGTGTGTTGAGTAAAGTTAATTTTGAACGAATGTTGTCTACATTCAATGTGGGCACTTTTTAATAGAGGATAGCGGCTTCATCTCTTCACTTTAACAAAAATAATTATAATAAATATCAGTTTGATTCGGAGGTCCAAGATGGAGTTTAATCAAGGAGTGTGGAATAGAAGGGAGATATACAACTGACGCGGCCCGCCCTACCATATGATTTTACATGCTTTGCAGATGGGTACTCCATTTTTATAAGAAAAATCAGAAAAGGTTATTGTATTACCGGTAATTGTACATAAGACAAATATTTCTTATTCAAATGAAGTACTGTCTGCAAAGCACGTATTATCATATTGTAATGCGGACCTAGTCAGTTGTATCTCTCTTCTATTCCATACTTCTTGAGTTTGATGCTTTTTACGACACAAAAGTTCTGACTTCGTTCAGACCACTCTTTGAGGACTCTATATTTTCTGCATATTTTATATTGTTTTTTATTCTAATATTCAAGAAAATATAAATTTGCAGTTATGAGTTGTTAATATATGTGTGAGTAAACTCTTGCTCTTTATTAAGCTGTCTATTGTTTAATATGTGTGATTTATTTTCTATTCTTCATTTTTTGTATTATTTAACTCTCCATATTGGATCTAGGTGATCAGACTGCAAACCTACCTGGTGCTTCTTAAGATAAACAAGTTCTTACTCCTGGTGGTCGCACACTCCTTGCTGTACATGGTGGTGGACGCACAGTCCCCTGATTCAGGAATTAAGGTTGGTTTATTAACTGATGGTGAGATAGTTATGCTAGTTTTTATTTAAGTAATTGTGACTAGAAGAAAGTGAAGAAAGAAAATTTTAATTAGCCTGGATGGATTGTCATTGTCATTGTCATTGTCATTGTCATTGTCATTGTCATTGTCATTGTCATTGTTACTGTTATAGGATTTTTGGAGATGAAAGTTTATTGCAAAAAAAGTTATTTAATGTTATATAATGCTTGAAGGTTGGATTTCTTATCATCCTAGGGAAATTTTTGTTAGAACTAAGCGATTATTATTATTATTATTATTTTATATAAAAGAGTGCTAAAAATGTTTATCAAATTACCGCATTTGTGTTTTCCGGACACCTAAGCTTGATTGACTGAGGCTTATAGGTTCAAGGGGTGATTCATATTCCTCTGGGTTTTTTCATTCAAAATTCCTCTTAGTTAAGTATTTTGTTTTTAAGCTGTTGGATTTGGGGTGCCCTATAACTTAAATATGATTTAATTTAGTGGACTGGATTATTACAGGTAGAGAACACTGGATTCTTAAATTGGGTTCGGTATTTTGTATTCTTTTAGATTATCTTAATTGAAATTTGGAATTCTGAACCTCATTTGAAATACGCAATTTTAACCTGGAGAAACTTATTAATCTTCTTTATGTCAACGGGGAAATCATGCATCAAAGTTGATCTTTTATTTGCCTTTATTTAATCATTTATCTGTGTTTAGTTAAACTTTAATCTGTTTTCAGCTGATCTTTTATCTGTGTGTCCGTGTTTAGGTGTCTACTGCAACACACAACCATGCTGTAATGTTACAGCAGGGTATCCAGGCTGCTATACCGTGTCCTGGAGAAGGCCATGTAAGACAAGTTGCACTGCGGCTGGGACAAACACTTCTGCAGAAGGGGGCAGGAGATCTTCCAGGGATGCCACACGTCAGGTAAATAATTGTGTGGTTTGGTCAATTGGCAATCTTTTTGGTATTTTGATGCTGAATATAATAGGTGACCCCTTTTTTCCAATGTTTTAAAAATAGTTTTGGGGGATAATTTAAAAGATAAAGAACAAATGTATGGAGGTCATAAAATTTAATTTGTTTGTGTTTAGATGTGTATACCGGCTAGCATGGGCAGCCGCTGCTGGAGATTTAACTCTTCAGTCAGCCTCCCCTGAGAAGCTGAGAGCTGCAGTGCTTGCTGTGGAGAACCTGTCTCCTGACCTCATCTGCCTTGCCAGGGAGGCCATGGAGGTGTTGACACTTACCATAGCTCTGCATCCTGAAGCTTTAGAACAATTGGTGAAGGACAAGGTTGGGCAAGCCTTTGTTCTAGATCTTGTTCTGCTGTGTAGGTAGGAACTTGATGGTGTCTTCTTATCCTTAAAAAGACCATTGAGCTTCAGCTCAGCTTCAAATTGTTTTGAACCAGCATAAATGTTTGATGTATGAAAAGTTTTCTTTTCAATTAATGGTCATTACAATTGATGATAATTGGTTTATTAATTTTAAAATATATTGATTTGATTTAGGGATCGAAGTATCAGACAGGCTGCTTCTGAACAATTCCTTATGATGACTACACGGGCTACTGGAGAAACTCATTACGTCAAGTTCATGATAACTCTACTCTTCACTGTAATCAATTCTATAGTAAGTGAGCATCCAGAGCAGAGCTCAGAGTATTTCAACCTGATATCCAGACTCCTGGCTTACCTGGCATCCAATAGGACAACGTTGAACAATGTACAAGCTCTTCTCTCACAGGAAGTTGATCTGCTTTCCAAAACGAGGGTTAAGGTTAGAGTCAATTTTAACAGTTAGTTAAACAGAATGTCACAATCATAAATCTAACAAGCTGAACTCCTAAATTAAAAAGTTAATTTCCAGAACTGTTCTCGTTATATTAATTAGCTTACTAAGGTACCTGTTCAGGTGGAGGAGACAGGAGAGCCTGGTATCTCTAACACCCTCCTGGAGGGACATCTTGCCATTACAAGAGAGCTTGTGATGTTCCTGCCTCCAGATAAAAAGCAGGAGGTTGGAGCAACCAAGATTGGTGGTGGTCTGGTAAAGGAACTGGTTGAAGACTGGATATTCCCAGCCAGTAAACTCTGGGTTGTGTACAGCCAAACCGGAAATCTTCCAACGGATAAAACAGCAGTTTGTCAAACTCCCGCCACAACAAGCGCTGCATTCGAGCTTTTGGTGGCCCTCTGTTCGGGTTGTTCTGGTAACCTCTCTCTTCTTGCCACAATGTTGGCAGACATGTTCTATAACCGTGTTGAATGTTTAACAGAATGGGATTATTTACCCCCTGTCGGGCCCCGCCCACAAGGCGGATTTGTTGGACTTAAAAACGCTGGTGCCACGTGTTACATGAACTCTGTACTGCAACAGCTGTTTATGTTGGAGGGAATTAAACGTGGCATTCTGGACGCGGAGGGAACTTGCAAGGATCCAAATGAGGATTTCTCCGCCGAAGATAGGAACGAAGACGACGGTCCAGAGGAGGAAGGAGATCGGAATGATTACAATGTCACCATTTTGAAGCAAATCCAGGCCATTTTCGGTCATTTGTCAGAAACTCAACTTCAATATTATATTCCCAAGGTTAGTTAAAAGCAATTCTAAGTTTAGAATTTACAATATTGACAACAATTTTTTTCAGGGCTTATGGAAACATTTCCGAATGCTTGGTGAACCGGTGAATCTGCGCGAGCAGCAAGATGCTGTGGAATTCTTTATGACATTAATTGAAACTTTAGACGAAGCTTTAAAACATGTCGGACATCCTCAGGTTAGATGCTCAACAAGTTTTAGATGAAATTATGCTTTGAAAATGTAGAATATAATGATCTTTTTTCTCTCTTGATTAACATTGTTCTGGTTTTAGGACTGTTTTCATGTCGTTATATTCCATTTTATTCTGGCAAATACTGAACAAAAAAATATAAAATGCTGGAAACATGATTTTAATCTGAAATTTTCAGGTTTGTTCATCTGTCCTTGGTGGTATTATTTCCGACCAGAAGATTTGTAAGACTTGTCCTCATCGATACAGTAGACAGGAACCCTGCTCCGTTATATCTGTAGATGTAAAGAACCATTCAAATCTCATGGACAGCTTAGCCGAGTATACCAAGGTGAAATATATTATAGATATTCTCTTTAAAAGTACACAGAGAGTTTCCGAATAGTAGGTTGTTGTTCAAGCGGACACACCAAACCAGGGGTGTAATTTTTTAAGAATTACACCCCCAATGTTACATAAAATCTTATGTAATTTATGATTTTCGAAAAGGGGGATTATTTAAGAACATATACACCACTGCACCAAACAGCCTACAATTCATGAAGGATGTAATTTCTTGTTAAAATTAAAATATTCCACAAAAATCCAAGTAACCTCGTATAAAAGCCATTGCTTTATAAGACATGTTTTTACCATGAGTGAGGGATTTCAAGTTATTAAATTATCCCGAGTAATAATTGAAAACCCTAAAATCCTCCCTAATGAAACGAAATACGCGTAACATAAAATTGTTATATATTTTTCCATTTGCAAGGCATGTTTTCGACTCCAGTTACTAATAGATAGTATAAAATTCAACTCCCATAGTTAAAAGAAAAAAAAACTTTTTAAAAAGTACTTTGCAAATGGGCAGATTCCGGCCCATAATTTTCTTATTATGAAAGGGGCTCTGGAGATTCTCGTGCTTGAGCCATTATTCGCGTATCTATATAATAAAGCTCTTCGCTCATTTATGTATATGTATACGAGATACATATTAATTCTGAAATATATGTTTTAAGTTGAAGCTGATTCTTTAAATATATGTATTTATATGTTATCTATAGCTTGCCAAACGCCTGAACCAAATTGGCGGACATTTTTGGAGGGATCGAATATTTAAATTCTATTTTTATTAACAAAATTCAAAGTGTTTTTAAATCTTCGGGCAACGCCGAGCTCTTCAGCTAGTAATAAATAAACATCTATCCAGGGTGAGCTGTTGGAGACTGAGAATGCGTACTACTGTGAACAGTGCAATAAGAAGGTGGATACTGTTAAACGACTCTGCGTCAAGAAACTGCCTCCAATCCTTGTTATCCAGCTAAAACGGTAATTGTTTTCACATAGATTTGTTTTTCAATACAACCAAAGTTTAGGAATGATAAATCTATTTATTTTTACTTACTTTAATGTTTTTGGTTCGGTCTGAAATAAACAGTACTTAGGATCTATTTTATTTTGATGCGGATCCGAACTGGAAAAAAAATGGATCAAAATCCGGATCCGGATCAAGGTCATTTCTTGATTTACTGAATTTTTTAACAAAGCAGGATTTTCAAATTTTTTGTCTTTATATGTTTTGCCTAATTTTATGCTAAAATTTGATGAACTATTTAGCCAAAATCTTGAGGATCCAATGGATCCAGATCCTAAGCACTGGAAATAAGTTCTGTGCTTTTTATGATTTATTAAAAATGCACATGCTAGAAGTAAGAAACAAACTGATGTAGTTTTGAATACCGATTAATTGATTGATGGATTGATTATATCAGGTTTGATTATGACTTTGAGCGGGAGACTGCGGTGAAATTTAATGACTATTTCGAGTTCCCACGAGAGCTAGACATGGAACCTTACACAGGTTAATGAGATTATGATTGGGATTGGGATTGGGGCCAGGACCGGGTCGAAATGAATCGCGATGGAAAGGGATAGTAATATTGAGAACAAATTACCATTCTTAAAAGATATTTAAATGTTATTTATCCTGTTATGATTTTCATCCTTACAAATAATTGATTGTTTGAATGAATTTAGTTGCTGGATTAGCTCGGCGAGAAAATGAAGCTGTAGACTGTGGACCAGAGGATCTGGATCCAGGTAGGGCCAAATTTCAACAAACCCTTCAGCCTTAGTTTAAAGAAAAGGAGATCTCCTAGAAATTGATAATGTTCGATAACGGTTTCTATATTCAAGTTTGACTTGCGGGTTAAATATATTTAGGAAATTGACACAATTTATCTCTTTTCTAAACAGAAAGAACGACGATATCTTCATTTTTCATTTTTGGTAAGATAGAGGTTTAAAGAATACTTTTGTTAATCGGACATGAAAGGTTAGCTGCACTGCGGACTTAAAGCTTGATTTAAAATATGAAATGTTGTCAATGCCAGATTTGCAACAGTCCCTTTAAGAAGTAAATAGACGATAAAAGTGTGGCATAATAACATTTATAAATAAATATACATTTTTAATTTTTTCTCAGGTGTTGTTAGAACATATGTTCTACGCGGTATGGTGGTGCACAGTGGACAGGCTAGTGGTGGACATTATTACAGTTATATACGNGACAATATAGGTTTTTTTTTCATTTTGATGTTCTAGATATTCGTAAATATTGACTTAAATATTTTTGCATATTATTGTGAAATATCTTCCACTGGTTTGGCACTACAATTGATCTCTGATAGTACTTTACATACAAGTTCATGATCCGCTTGTTTTTTCTGGTATTCGTTTAGGTCTATTGCAGGCTCCTTCAGGTTTTGAATGATAACATTTAACTTCTTGAGGTTCTGTTCTGTCTGTTCAGCTATCATAGCCTTGGCTGCATTCTCATTGCCTTAAGACTTAAGTTGATTCACAGACTCCTGAATCTTTCCAATCTGGATCACTGCCTGGTCAACCTTGTTAGTGTTGTTTGCAATACCCTCCACATTTGCAGCAACAGTTTTCTGAATCTTGAACACAGTTTTTTCTAGATTAATTAATCTTTGCTCAATTATCTTTCTAGCTAGAATTAGGTATGGCTATATAGTTGGAACAACCTTTCCTATGTATAGAAATATAGTTGAACTAATCGTACCTTCTTAACCTACTTCTTGTTGTCCATTAATTCTGACGTCAGATATATTTGGGTAGGTAAGGTTAAACATCGTTAAGGCTATATGCGTAGAAAAGTATCTAGTGGTATAAAAATCCAAGCAAAAAAATAAAAAATTATAAGTTTAAAAATTTTCAGGAACACATTTTGCTAAAAATAAAATTTTTATAAAATCGTCATTTTTCATTGTTGGGATTGAAAGTTTGTATTTTGGTTTGATTGATTTGATTTTAGCTTATTTGTTGAATTAATAAATATTAAAGTGATTATTGAATATGTGTTTGATTGATTGGTCTGTTTGTGAATGGATTGAGAATAATTGGCTGATAAATTTTATTTTGATTGGTTGGTTGGTTGGTTGTTTGGTTTTTGATCGATATGTTTAGACAAGAAAGTAAGTGATATAAGTTTGATGATAGATAAGTTACCGCGGTTTAAATTTAAGATTATGAATGATTGATTGATATAAGGATTTATTGATTGATTGATTGATTGATTGATTGATTGATTGATTGATTGATTGATTGATTGATTGGTTAATTGATATAAGGATTGATTGATATTTAGGCAAGGTAGCAAGTGGTATAAGTTTGATGATGGTGATGTCACCGAGGTGTTTATGCAAGATGATGAGGAGCTGAAGAACCAGTGCTGGGGAGGAGAATATTTATCTGAGGTTAGTACAGTGTATAGTGTACAGTGTACAATTAACAATGTACATGAAAATAGAAATTGTGCAGTGTACACTAAAACTTTTTTACCTAATAAGTTGATTTTACAGTTACTGTTTAAACAAGTTGCCATTCAACATCAAATACACATAAAATTGCTTAAATGTCTTTTTTCTCTTCCACAGTATTATGGTTCACACTGTACTAAACTTATATATTTAAACACGTGTTATTCCAGGTGTTTTATCACGTGCTAAACTTATATATTTAAACACGTGTTATTCCAGGTGTTTGATCACGTGCTAAAGCGAATGTCTGTACGAAGGCAGAAAAGATGGTGGAATGCTTATATGCTGTTCTACTGTAGATCTGATCTAGATAATCCTGTAGATATTATCAATACAGGGATACAGGTAAACATTACACAAAACGCAATACCGCCGTCAATTAATGGCGTTATTTGTTGCAAAGGTGAAACCGGAATATTTTATTAAGTGGGTTACACTTTTTTCTTGTATGAAAATATTGAATAGTGTCCTAACATTTTAACCTTTCTCGGGCAAAATCATACCTTTTTCGTCACTTTAACAACTTTTTTGTAATCTCTTTTGGGAAGCTAGTTGATGGTGGTTGCGGAACGCCTCACCCACTTTGGTTGCGCCACATTGCCCACGCCATCTAAAAGGACCTCACTAGTCTCCTGGAGTTTGTAATAACTCTTGTAATAATAGAGATAAATGGTGCTAACTTTGCACCTATATTCTTTTAATCCATAAGGGGCATAAAAAAATTTCAATTTTTTTTTTTCTTGATCAGGGGCGTAGAAAGGGGGGTATTTGGCCCAAAACAGGTATTTATATATATAAATATTTTTTNGTCCTTGTTAGGCTATTTTGTCATGGTCTAATATTCTGTCAGACCTAAAATCTTGAAAACAATAATGATACATCGGCAAAAAAATATTTATATATATAAATACCTGTTTTGGGCCAAATACCCCCCTTTCTACGCCCCTGATCAAGAAAAAAAATTTGAAATTTTTTTATGCCCCTTATGGATTAAAAGAATATAGGTGCAAAGTTAGCACCATTTATCTCTATTATTACAAGAGTTATTACAAACTCCAGGAGACTAGTGAGGTCCAAAAATGTTACTGCTTAAAACCCACCCTCTAGTGGTGAAATTTGAACTTAATTCTGTCCACAGCAATTTTGAGACGTTAAAAGAATGTATTTCCCTTTTTAATAGCATAAATATTAATCATTGTATGTGTGCCAGTAGATATCTTCGGCGGCCGGGATCGCTGACCCCTATTTTAATTAGCTCCAGGTTTGTCTTTCAATAAGATTATATATGTTTAGGGTATGCGGTTAACGAATAAAATGCCTGGACCTATTGAGAAATCTATTGTTAAACAAAATGTTCTGTTTCTTCACAATAGAAACCAGTTTTCTCCAGAATACTTTAATTTTATGAAGAAACTCATCAGCTGCAATACAGGTACAGTGGATATTAACGTTTTCTATTCAATTTCATTTTCTTGCCTTAAATTTAATGATTTCGTATTCAATATAAATACGTAAAAGCTATCCTTTAAGACCTCAATATTCAATCTAAACAAGGAAAGTAAATATTTGAAAATTATTTTCTTCTAGGGTTTGTAACCCCTGCTAGCGGCGAGCAGCTGAGCAAGGAGCAGGAAGATATTTGTTTAACTACGGTTCAGCTGGCTTCAGCTTTTCTCTTCAGTATTGGGTTCCATACAAAGAAATCTATTCGGGGTAAGCTTAGTTATATTTCTAGACATTTTGTAGTTTAACTTCATGTTTTATTTTTGATAAAATATTATTGGCCCATTTTTTTCTATTTTTCACACTTTTTCAGAAATGAAAAAAAAACCTTAAAAGTTTGGGCTCCTAGCACAAATTTTAAATATATGAATCTTCATATAAAAATAAATTTTCATTGTTCAAAAATTCAATGTGACTAATTGTGCTTTGAATGTAATCATAAAATCTCCGCTTGTAATTTATCTAAATAAAAAAAATCACTTAATATGGTTGCTGAGCTCTTGATTAGTAAAATGGTAGTTTTTCTGAGAGGTTATTGCTCTTGAATAAAAGTACGGGAAATTTTTTTTGATATAAGTGCTCAAATCCATCGTGAAAGAGTCCAACATTTTTATAGATTTTTATCAATTTAACATGTTCAGATTTTTACTTTTCGTGTATATCAAAACACTAATGCAAGCGAGGAAAAAAAGCATCAAAATGAATTCAGACGGGTAAAAGAACTTATGTGTTGAATTCTTAAAAGTTATTATTATTATTATTCCTAAAATACACATTATAAGCAAAAATCTGGTTTTGGCAAGATATTTGTCACTTTCAAAAATAAACTAGTTTTTGATTTCAAATAAAACAAATTTTTCATCTGTTTGAGTCGCATGTTTTAATATCCATATAAACATGTTTTAATAAATAAAAAAATTTACCTCCCCAATTGAATGAATCCGTTAATTACTAAATGAGCTTTATTTTTTTCATTTTTGGGTTTAAATGCAAATCGCTTATAATTTGATACTATATTATTTTTGCTGGCGTTAAAAGGAATTGACATTTTGATTATTATAAATACTGATCTTAACAGGTCCCCTACCCTTAGGCTCTCATATCATTATCTATTTGGGGTGCTAATGGGTCGGGTTACTCGTTTTTCTAAAGCCACTGACATGACAAATGAGGATCTAAGTTATAAATCAATAAATGGTTTGTATTAAGGTAACTCAATGGATTGGTATGAGATCCTTTCTATCCATCTGAGGTACTCTAGAGCAGCGAGGTCCTGGTTTTGCAACAACATACTGTTCTCCACCCCTGCACGGTTCGCGGAGTACCTCCTAGAGTGTCCCAGCCCGGAGGTAAAATAGGAATTCTCGGTTTTGTTGAAATTTTAAGGGGTGTACGCTTGTTTTCTAGGCAATTCGATTTTGTAATTTTGTTTTTTTAATTATCGGCGAAGCTGCAGGGAAAATAATCAAAAATGTAAACAATTATATTGAAACTAGGCTCCAAGCGCGCAATCTTCGATTTTTTACGTTTGATTGTTGCTCTTTCATACACTTTTTTGTGTGGATTTTGAAAAATCGACATTTTCACTTTCCCTGGGATCATGTGAGGTCTCTAAAAAAATGGTCCCGATCGGTTCTTCCGTTTTGACGTTTATCAGTTACAAACAACAGACAAGCAAACTATAAACTTTGATACTGAAGGTCCCCGGGTCTTATGGCTTAACTTCTTTTCTGATATTCTGTTATTTATGAACCTAAAAACTTATTTCCTCTTTGTCTAACATATTCTTTGATAATTAAGATGGTCGTTCTGTGTCAAGTTATGTTAACAGAAATTTAATTAAATTAGTTAAATTACAAAATGTTATATGAGGCTAATAATTGGCTCTGTTAAGGGCGCAAAAGTAAAAAATTCAATTAATGTACTAATTTCCAGTTTCATTAAATTTCTTTCTAAAATCATTGAAATCTATAAATATTGGAACTTCCTTAATAATTTTCTGTTTTTAAATGCGTTATATTTATTTAGGTTCGTTTAACGTTTTCCAAACTGCTCGTCTTCTGCGCTCATTTCTCTGCACCAGACGGTCCTGTAGCTACACCAGCCTGCTTAAACCAGATACAGACAGAGGTACAGTACCAGACATATATATATATAGTTTATACAACACCAGAAGGTCCTGTAGCTACACCAGCCTGCTTAAACCAGATACAGACAGAGGTACAGTACCAGACATATATATATATATATAGTTTATACAACACCAGACGGTCCTGTAGCTACACCAGCCTGCTTAAACCAGATACAGACAGAGGTACAGTACCAGACATATATATATATATATAGTTTATACAACACCAGAAGGTCCTGTAGCTACACCAGCCTGCTTAAACCAGATACAGACATGGGTACAGTACCAGACATATATATATATGTATATATACTGAATACAGCCCCAGACGGTCCTATAGCTACACCAGATGCAAACAGAGGTACAGCACTAGACAAATATATAAATATAGTACCAGACGGTCCAGACATGTATAATGCATATGCACTTTATATATTGCACGTGTAACAGAAATAGAAATAACCTGTAATAGTGTAATAGCTTGGGAACCCAGGCCCAGAGATGTCATAGTTGGCCCCACCATTAACCCGCCTTTTGTCGTAAATTACTATTTTAGTTTTTTCTTTCGTCAAAAGCGGACCCACTCAATTTATAATCTCAAACAGACAACTAGAGATTACAACTATATATAATGATACAGTACCAGAAATAAATATAAATAAGACATACTGTAAAAAGTACCGAACATATTTATTCTGTATAGTCTATACAGTACCAGATATAGACTATAGAGATATACTGTATACAGTACCAGATATAGAGATATACTTATGCAGTACCAGATAAAATATATACTTTGTAAAGCACCAGTCAGAGGCATATTTTCAACCTGACTAATACCAGACAGAGGTAAAAATATTACAAACCAGACTCTTACGAGACCGAAGTATAGTTCCAACCAGGCTAGCGCCAGAAAGAAGTGGAGTTCCAGCTAAACTAGTACCAGACAGAAGTTTAGTTTAACAAGATTAGTACTAGATGGATGTTTATCGTAAAGTGCAGGTTTCCCCTCAATAGAAAGAGGCTTTAATGAACAACGAAAATGGTGTCAGATTTAACAAAATAATTGTTTAGTTTTGTCAGCTGTTTTAGATAAACTCATTCAACATATTATACTTGATTCAAAGAAAGAAACATGTGTGATAAGACATAAGACAAATATATCAATGAATTCCGTACAGTCGTCTCTAGAGTCTCATCTTTTCTGGGTAACCCTGTACCAACAAGATTCATACTTATCCTTTATTCTGTACAGATTCCTCCTGGAGCTGGATTATCGGAGCATATTCTTCTGGCGGTCCTATCTCTGCTCTGGGCGGAGGTGGCGGACTATGGTCGGCACCTATCTCAGTATTTCGGCCTGTTTGTTATGTACTGTTCTCTGGGAGAACATGAGAAATTGCAGTTGCTTAATCTTAACGTTCCAGCGTTATTCATGCAGGTATATACAATTACAAACCCTTCTCTTTTTTAGTTTAAAAAAAATTGTGTTCACCATTTTGTTAAAAGCACAACATTTTTGGGTTTTCATGAAAATGTAAAAAATTAGGGGCCTGACTACCCCCCCCCCCCCCTCAGGACACCATAGTTGTCACTTTTTGTAGAAAGGATAATTGCTCATATGCCCCCCCCCCTGTCTAAGCCCCTTTGAATGGGATCAAAGAGTATTAAACCCCAGCTAAATGGGTCTTTTTACTGTTTTAAATACCAAAACCTTTTTTTTATTTTTGAAAGAATGAATTTAAATTTATTTTTTATTCATTTTTATCAATGTTTACTTTTTTGTGCTGTACTAAATTGTGTACTACATGCCTACTCTAGATTTTGATTGTATGAGTATAGTACAAGTGTGCAATTATGCTCTAAATTAAAAGGTGTATGTTAGGTTATGTACATTGTACATGTTCACTTAAGTTTCTGTTTATCCTTTTGTATAAATGTACTGTACATGTGTACTTCAGGTTGCCCTGGATGATGGACCTGGACCTCCAATAAAATATCAGTATCCAGAGCTTGGAAAACTTTATCAGGTTAGATGCAGTGGGATCCACAAAACCATGGAATATAAAGACGACTTTAAGACTCAAATTATAATTTTGATTAATCCACTAAATGAAATAATAATTGGTCACTTTACATTAGAGGTGGGTTAATTTTGGAGGCCGCTAGTGTTATATCTGAACCTAAACATTCTTGCGCAATTCTGCGTAGTTTCACTAAATCTAGTCAAGGCATCGTGCGTCAGTTCTTCACCCTGCGACAGTTCATCTCTACTAATGTTTTTAACCATTTCAACACAATGTTAAACAGGGGTGATGAACTGATGCATGTGCTCAATTTATCTATTGGAGTCTAGGCAAGTTTGCTACAAACATAAGGCGAGCATTAATTCTTTCTCTTCGGCGCACCTCAATTAGCACTGAGCTGAAAACTTTAGAATGGGATATCCTTAATCCCGATCTGTTAATTAATCTGGAGATTAATTACAAGAGAAGAACAAGCAATATTTAATCTGGAGATTAAGAAAAAGAGTGGATTAAGCATTAATCCAGATATCCACCATTCAAAAGTTCCCAGCTCTGATTATTTATCTTGCATATTTCAGGTAGGCCTCTTTAGACAGGGGTCAACCGTGAACTGAAACACAATGAGTCCAAAGTTATTTTAATTAATGACAATAATAAAAAACGCTAGCATTAAATGAAAATTTTCTCCGGGTTAAAAACATTTGATTTTATTTAAAATGTTGATTTGCCGTCCGGAGGTTTATTACCTGTATTTGATCTAGTGGGGGAGCGTTAGATCGGGGATACAGTATTAGGATGTAGCCAATCCTGTCCAGGGGTCCTTTCTTCGGAGGTGTCGGAGGGGGAGCAGAACAATCAAGACGTGGTTATCGAAGATCTTATATATATATATATATATAGAGAGAGAGAGAGATGAACTCAAACCAAGCGTCCAGAGATCCAAGAACAGCTCAGCTTCCGTTAAAATCGGAGTCTTGACAACGGAGGTCTAAAGAAAATTCGTTAGACTGAGTTCAGAAGCTCAAAGTTTAAGAGCTTTTACTCCTCACCTTTATTTTGACCTATCCCAGACTCAGGGTGTTAAGATTAGTATGTGAAAGGAGGAGAAAGCATCTTCATCCTAGAGACCAAGGATACAGAGAAGATTAACTGTATGTTGCTGAGGAGAATAGCCTATCCCCGAGCCAGTAAATAGGATACAGATCTTGAGATCAACCGCCTAGCATGAGAGTTTTTTTGAAGTAGTTGTGAGAGTTTAGGATATTATTCAAGCTCAACTTTGGAAATGCACGAATTTATCACCTGGTTCAGCGCGTAGAGACGAGCACGGAATTTTTGAGTAAGAAATCACAATTATCACGACAAATCTACTTATAATTATATAAACCATCTTTTAGAAAAGTTTTCATGTGAATAGTTATGTCACGGATGATTTATAAACCTGGAGAAAGAAGGGAGCAACTAACCCATCGTGTCCTGAAAGATAAGGCTCATTATTTAAAAGTAGTGGCTAGACTTTTTAGCATAAGTATTGGCTAGACTTTTTAGCATAAGTATTGGCTAGACTTTTCAGCATGTATAAACTTATTTACAGTTTTTGAAATTAATTTTCCATTCATAAAATCATACCCAATAGGCCTTTAAATGTTTTTACATTAAAAATCTCAGATTATATAAAACATTTTGAACATTAAGAATAATTGTAGGTTCGATTTATTTGTAGAGATTTGTAGGATTAGTAGATTGAAGATAGGATTTCTCTGTAGAACTAGCTGGAGAACATCTCGAGTATGAACACCCTGAACACATGATAGTTTATAAAAGATCCTCAAATCTTGCAATGCAGGACAGCGATTCCATTTTTTACAGGACGCAACGAAACCGTTTCATATTACTCCTAATCTCTGATTTCAGTATAATATGTGAAGTGTACACTAATTATAGTTTTTTTTCTTTTAGGTTGTATCTAACCTTGTCCGTTGCTGTGATGCAAGTTCAGTTACCCAGTCTGCAGTGGAGGGGGTTGAGCCAGCTCCAAACCCATACCTGGAGCCCTCTCTCCAGCATGGATACTTGGCTCCTATACAGATACCGGTTTCGGAACACCTTTTTCAGAGGTACTGTTTTCAAAAACAATTTTATAAAATGACCAAGTAACTTTAAATATTTGGGAAAATTTGAATTTTTTGATAAGTATTTGTTATATATGTACTTGTGTATTTCAGTAAAAATATGTTTCTTTTTTATCTTCAGAATTTTTAAATACAAGAACTTAAAGAAGAAGGGATGAATTTTATACCTATCTATCTTTAAGAATTTTGCAAAAAATCTAGTATTAGAATGTAAAAAATTATTATTATTATTATGTAATAATTATTAATACTTGACAAACACTTTTATGTTTATTATTTCTCTAAATTGTTAAGTGTTTATCTAAGAAGGAAGATTGATTGAAAATCTTCTCAAACTTTTCATCATTATCCTTCAAAAGAAAAGATATAAAAAATTTGCGAAAATAAATATTTGTGCGGATCATTTCTTGGCAAAATTTTCACACATTTTATTCGAAATATTAAACTTTCATTTGAAATGTTAATATTTGATAGTTAGCCGTAGGAGCATACAACATACAATAAATATTCTCTTGAAAATTTCCTAAAGGATTATTAGGAAATTTAATGATTTTTGTTGAATATGGGGAAATAAAGGTTTTTTGGGTTAATGGTGCCATAACATTTTTCGAAAAACTTTCCCAAATTTTTATTTGAAATTTTGAATTTGATTTGGGAAAATTCAAGAAATTTAGATTTTTTTGTTGAATTAGGGACAATAACGATTTGGGGGGGAGATAAATGAAATATTAGATGTGTCAAAAAACCTAGCAAATTGATGCTAAATAGCCTAATTTTTTCTTTTAATACCACCCTGTTTTAGGTCTGCTTACCTGAAAAAGTTGATAGAAGATGCTAACAGTAGTGAGGATACTAAGAAACTTCTCCAGTTCTGCTGCTGGGAAAACCCTCACTTCTCTCACACTGTTCTATACGAACTACTCTGGCAGATTGCATTTGCGTATACATACGAACTCAGGTACTAGGGTTACCCTCAAAAGATGAGACTGTAAAGACGACTTGAAATTGATAAAACATGACGATTCCAAGGTTAAATAAAAGTCTTCTGCCTTGAATATAGTCTTTCAATGGTTTATTTAATGATTTGGGAAAGCAACAAGTTTACAGATTCAGGGATTCATGAAGTCTCCTGTAGCTTGCTGCAGGTCAACCAAAGGGAAAAGAACTGAGTTTTTTTTCTCACAAAACTCAAGTTTTCTATTCCCTATATATTTGCAACCTGGAGGACGTTAACTTGATTAACTTCAAACTTTTATTTTTGATCAAAAAGAATTTATAGTTTTAAATATTAAAGGTCTACGACATCGGTTTTTGGGATTAAAAGTCAGAGTTTGTGTCAAAGACTCATTTATTCTAAACCCTTCTAGAAAGAAACATTTAACTACAAAAGAATAATAATTTTTTTTTGACAAAATAAAAAAAGTTAACGAATTGAATATCGTTCGTTTTGTTAAAACTTTTTCGCCAATCTAACACAATTTTGATTATCTTCCTCCACTGAGTGGTTACATCCCCGTTCTGATTCTGTCATCATTAATAATCATGATTGATGACTGAATATACATCATTTCTGTTCTCTCTACCCACTGAAGGTTGAGTTCACATATGTCTCCAATTTTGTTGAAATAAATAATTTCCCATTTAGGGAAAAAATGCATTTTCCATTGTTTTTTGGGATTCCATGGTATGATAACTCATTAGTTTATCTGTATTGATATTATTTATCCAAAAATCTATTCACTTTCACTAGTAAATTTGATATTCACTTGCCATATTTCAGACCCTTCCTTCAACTCCTTCTTGGCATGCTCCTGATGGAGGACTCATGGCAAACTCACAGGATTATGAAGGCCCTCAAGGGGATCCCTGACGACCACTCCGCCAGGGATGGACTCTTCGACACTATCCAGCGGTGTAAGAACCATTACCAGAAGCGGGCCTATCAGTGCATCAAGATGCTGGTCACCCTGTTCTCTCAGTGCCAGGCCGCAAAGAACATCCTGCAGGCGAATGGAGATTTGAAGAAGAAATGGACCTGGAGCGTGGAGTGGTTGCACGAGGAGCTAGAACGGGTCGGAACACAACGAGCTCCGTATAGCAACACTAGCGGTAGTGGGTACTATTCCAACTGGTCACCGCCGGCGGGTAGTAATGAGACCGCTAACGGATACTTCCTCGAGCGATCACAATCGGCGCGGCTCACACTGGAGAAGGCCTTCGAGCTGCTGCCGGATGAGGACGAAGAGGAAGGAGATGAGGGTGTTGGAGTAGCAGCTGGACCGGCAGGCGAGGAAGACGGCGGCAAGAAAGGACAAAATTCCGCCGTTCAACGTCCTCCAGACCGATAATAAGCGTTTTGTAAACATAAATTTTCATACAAAAACGTGCGTAAATTATTAATATGAAAACTATTTCTATGTTAGTTTTATACAAAATATTTTATTTTTTTCATTCTTGAGAAAAGGACAATAATCAAAACGTTGATATAAGCGGCGTTGCAACCAAATATATTATTCACATAATCTCGTAACAATTTTAGATTATCATCGGTTTCCGAGATTTAATATGAAAAAAAACTTTGGCCATCATTTTTGTCCTTAAGATATTGGCGCAGTTTCATGGTTTTTAATCATTATTTAAAATTAAAAGTGTGTAGCTTAACCCTATTCAGGCTGACGTCTGGTTTACCCAAAATAGTCTGGGGGGGGCGGTCCCGGGGACCCTCCCTCTATTTCCTTCTTGTGATACAAATCTATAACATTTGATATACTTCTGGAACGTCGGGTAAATGTAAAATAAGGCATTCAGGCAGTATGCCTGAGTACTCCGGTAGTAGGTTTATTATATAAGCCCAGCTTTGAGCCTAAAGTGAGAGGCATGTGTTAGTTATATAAGTATAAAAATTTGAACAGCAGCCTCTGACCACTTGAACACTTTNTAGCCGGAATAGGGTTAAAAATTCATAATTTTCGTGGATTTTCACCAATTTTCATATTTTTAGTTCTTAAAAAGATTTCTGGTGCCCGTTGATGATATTTCTTATTTGATGTATTTAATAAATCGTGATACAGTGATATACTGATACAGATTACAATGACATATGCCTCCTTATATTATTAAAGTGTTTGATGTACTAGTGTTTTTATTTAAGAAAGAGAAAGAAATGAAGAAAAATAAGATTCTGTATAAAATTAGACAAAATATTTGGCAGCGTGGGTAATTGCCATTCATTTAGATGTTATCTCAGCCCACCAGACATACAGGGTGTCCTTTCATACTTTTCAGTGGAGAGATTCACTATCTACAGGGTGTCCCACGAAATATGACGGTAGCAAGACTACTTGAAAGTCGTCTTTGATCTTGGAATTTATTTGTAACATTCAGTCTTCAACCTACATACTTAACATGTATGATTCTTGAAACAATAACCACATAATTCTCATATCCCATGGCTTTTCTTAATATACAGGGTGTCCCAAAAAACATGGGAATTCAGTGACGAATTCGATATCGTCTTTTTTAAAAATTCTTTGATTTAGTATAGTGATACCAACTGAGAAAGCTTTAATCTGTAAGAGTTTCGTCTGCTATGTTTACATTTTGTTTGTTTATGTTTTGACTGCATACGGTTGTACTTAGTAAAACAAGAAAATTGCAGTATACAAACAGAGAAAATTTGTCCGTCTTCACTGTTTATCTTGCAGAGACATTATAGACACAACTTGACATCAATTTACTGTTTTCATGAAATAAAATCTAGCTGACATAATAACATTATGGCTTTTGAAATTAGGTATTACAATGCTAATTCATAGCAAAGACGATATACTATTCGTCACTGAATTCCCATGTTTTTTGGGACACCCTGTATGTTCTCCTCATCTTTGTGTCAATGTTACCTGATATATTAAGAATTTTGTTCAGATTTCAATTTCGATAAATTAAATACAGGGTGTCCCACGAAACATGACAATAGGAAGACGACTTGAAAGTCGTCTTTAGTATTTGAATTTATTTTTGACATTTAGTCAAAGATAATATATATATAGATATGCAGGCAGGTAGAAACCTCCTTCCTAAATTGCTTGTAGCAGACAACTAATTTTTGAACCTCTGAGAAAATGTGCAAGGAGAGACATCTATAGCAAATTGATTACTTTCTATATTCCTTTCTCTCCTTGCTGCTATCTGTAGGAATTACGCATTTGTGTTATATAAACATACAGTACGCGTATTGCATCCTGTATAGTTCAAGTGTTGCTATCTGGACCTGTTTGACCAATAAAATTAAATTTCAAGGTAACACAAACATACAGTACGCGTTTTGATTATGTTATGCAGTCAGAGAGAAAAAGATTTAAATGTTTTAGACAAGGTGAACTTTCAGGCTCAAATTTTGATTTTTAACAGTCCAATGAACATAAAATATACAGTAATTTTGCCGTGTAGTGGATTTTTTTATATTTTAATCCTGAATTAAGTTTTTAAAAGCCATTGCCTCGGCAAATTTAAATATGCAAAAATATTTGCAGAATTTCTTCGCAAAAGTTGTGAAATTGGCTTTCTTTTGTTGATTAACCTAAATACACACGTCAGAATCTAGCGTACATTTTCCTCCATTTGTCCTGACGGGTTCCAAAGAGTTGTAAGAAGTCAAAATCCAATGACCGGAGGTAGGTCTAAATATAGATTTAGTCGGGTAAAGGTAAGATAAGGCATTCAGGCAATATGCCTGAAGACTCAGGCAGTAGGTATAAAATCCCCACTTTCAGCCAAAAGTAATGGGCATGTGTTAGTTAGAAAACTCAAAAAGTTTGAAGAGCCTCAGACCAATACTTTTATAGTCTCCAAAAATGTCAGGGGGAGGGAGGTAACCTAAACCCCCCACCCCCCCNTTAGAAGTAAATTTCTAGAGATAATAATCACAAAATTTCCCTTGTCCTGCCATTTCCAAAATGTGGTCTGCCTTTTTTGTGCTTTCAATATTGCCCGAGATATGAAGAATTTCGTTCAGATTTCGACAATTTTGCTTTTATTTAACAAAATTGAAATCTGAACCAAACTCTTTATATCTCCAGTAATATTGAAAGCACAAAAAACGCAGACCACTTTTTGGAAATGCCAGGGCTAGGAGAATTATGTGATAATTGTTTCAAGAATCATACATGTTAAAGTAGATAGAAGACTAAATGTCACAAATAAATTCAAATACCAAAGACGACTTTCAAGTCGTCTTGCTATTGTCATGTTTCGTGGGACACCCTGTATATCAAAAATCAAAGACGACGTTCAAGTCGTCTTGCTACTGGCATGTTTCGTAGAACACTTACATAGATTCAGCCTCCTTATAAACAGTCTCATCAATTTTTAAGACAGGGCTGACTTTGAAGTGTCGCAACGCCCTAAGCTTAAATTTTACCGCTCTAACTCACTTATGCTTTTCTGTAGCCCTTTACATGTACATTTTAGCACTGTAAAGCACTTGTTGTTAGGTGTGGTTTTTTAGAAGTTATTGGCAAAATTCTCGACGATTTTTGCTTGAGAGCGTGAGACCATTAAATCGCAGTGCACCCTGTATCTGAGAACACAGTGAATATCAATAAAAGATGGAATGAGTATTAAGCTTATAGGCCGCACAAAATTATATTAACGCTATAAACTTTTTGTTAAAAAATTTTAACATTAAATATTTAAAACTCCTTAAGATCGTTTTTTAACATTCATGTTAAATATTGACACACTGAACCCTACAAATTGTAAGGTTAAATCAAATTGCCCTTTTCCAATTTCAACATCCTTTTTCATCAGAATTATTTTCGTTGGAGGAACTTTATTTTCTAGTGACTTCGCGTTTGATAAACTACAAAGTCGGAATCACAACTGACCTCAAAAGTTTTCAAGAGTGAATAATAACTTTTTTTAAGGATTATCTTTGGTCGTGGTTTCTCTGCATGTCTTGTCTAGGAGCAATTGAGAAAATATCAGAAATAAACACTTTTCAAGCGAACATTAAATATTATCTCCCACAAAAAGGTTTAAAGGGTACCATTGTGAATCGGTTATAAAATAAAGGTTTGCTTGAAATACGACGAGCAGTTCCTTAAACTCTGCATAAATCCTTAGAATACTTCAACTTGAGAGGAGAAAAACTAAAGCACACTTCAGCAAGATGTAAATAAGATTTTATGCAAGATTTTTTTTTTTTTGGGGGGGGGTTTCTTGAGTAGACCTGATGCTGAACCAAAACACACACAGATGAACCTAAGAAGTGTGTGCATGGGTGCTATGGGGCCCAATCCCACCCCCATCCCCCCATTAATGAAACCTGTGATTTCCAGGGGGTGCGGAATGTGGAACCCCTTCCCATGGACAAGCTTCCCTCGACCCGACCAATTTGCCTCAAATTTTGATTGGGGAATTTGGTAGAACCACGCTATTGCACTTAGCTTGGTTTGGACATTTTTAGAAGAAATAGGTGTTTGAAGAAGCTGGGTTCCAAAGCTAATATTCTTTTAAAATTCGGTGATGGTGATGGACCTCTGTTGAGTAAAAAAAGTTAATGTTTAGTTCCACATTTATTGAAAATATATTTTTTTAATGTAGATTTATTTCCAATTGTGTATTCAGACACTGCTATAGACTAGTAGTTTAAATTGTTAATTGTTTTTACTGGAATACTACTTAAACTAGGTTCTCGTGAAAATATCGCATGGAAGACGATTTAGAAGTCGTCCATTAATTCCCATGTTTATTGAATCACCCTTTAAATGAATTCCCAAGGCTCATCTAATAATTTGGCAAAGAAGAAAGAAGTGGAGAGTTGCAGTTAGTTACTTAGAATTGAGATATAGATATCTAACTCTCATCATGATAATAAGAATTTGTGAATACATGGTTCCGTCAATTGTTCTTCGGCCGGAGCTTAGGTTCAGTTCACATTTTCCGGCCAGAGCAGAGGTTCGGTCCACTGTTCTCCGACCGGAGGTTTGGGTCGGAGAACCCCGGTTAGAGATTTAACTCGGGAGTACCATCTCATGGCAGGTTCTCAACTCATGGTTTAGTTTACAAAGTAGCAGAGGGTGGAACAGGNGTGTAGTGGTACAGAAACAGATACCGTTTTTTGAAAAAAATGGTAAAAATACCATTTTTAAAATGAAAAATTACTTAGTTACTTAGCAATTGTGCCCGACGCGCGCGGTGATTATGTTCAGAAGACAAATTGCTGTCCATCTTTAGGACTGAGTCCTATACAGTCACTATTTACTGTCAGTAATAGCAATTAATCTTAAATTTGTAAATTGATCGAAAACTTGTTTTTTCTAAATCAGGATTGAAGGGAATACAATCAGATTTTGCATGGGTTGTTTTCTTATACAGCTGATAAAGAAATATTTGGCAACAAAGCAAAAATAAAATTGCCAGCAGATTTGTTATATGAAGTAACAGGCTTGGAAATCCAGCTTTGCAATAATTTTACCTATAGAAGTCAACCCACTCAATTGAAAATTGTTGATCCAAGCTTAGAGCATTCCCGTGGTTCTACCGAGTTCCCCAACCAAAACAAAATTGTGGCAAATAGGTCAAGGGGTTCCAGAGTTACGGTTGGACATCCAAGTCAACTGACAAACAGAGATTACTACTTTATGTAGATATAAAGATTTCTTACAGAAGTTTGGAGCCT